AACGATCCTCAGCACAAATTAAGCAAACTTTTACCACCCCGCTATGTAAGCTCTCATAGGTCAAGGCACGAGCGTACCTTTGCTTTGCCACGTTGCAAGACAAACAGACTTAAAAGCTGTTTTTTTAATTGCTTCGGCCAGAATAGTCAACAGCCACAAATAATGTACAAGTTCCCTCTTACGACGAACTACGTATTTTTTAATAATAAGATGAATACATGTACATAGTAATTTTTATTTTATATCTGTGAATACGTAATTCAGTTCATGCTGTGAAGTGTTTACCAATAAAGTATCTATCTATCCACGCTAAACCACTATCGATTTGTTAAATTTCTGCCCCCCCTATGATTTGTCCAAAAACATTGACAACAGCGTGGGAAGTTTATGAACGACGTAACAACTAGGAGATTCAAATTACACAACATGAACAAAACACAGTGACTCACAACAAATATGAAAGAAAAGAAATGAGTTTCGGTCTTGCGCACATATTCTTCGTGATGGTTGGGAAGGAAAATATATTTGACTAGCCTGTGAACTGGCTCCGCCTTTTTAAGGGTCGAGGAAGAAGTGGCTCCTGACAAGGAGCTAACGCTGTGGAAACTTCAGCTTCAGAACTCTTTAAAGTGGACAATTTACAATTTATTGACTCGGTTGAGAAAACCAAATTGTCTTAGCTTCAAAATAAGCTAGGAAGTGATAATCAGGGCTCGACACTAACGGTAGCCCACTAGCCACAGACTAGTAGAAATTCAGTTTTGGCTGGTGGTTTTCAATTTCTACTAGCCAGTTTGCATAGTAAACAGACTGAAATTGTCGTAACATCTAAAAAACAACTAAGATGTCACTAGCCACTTGGCTAATGAGTTGAAAAGTTAGTGTCGAGCCCTGCATAAAGTGAAACTGCGCGGAAGAGGGCATGGGTAAGTGGAACTGGCTTTCTCCCCCCTCCCACCCCTTCCTCCTCCTTGCTCTTTTTCTTCTCGCTTTCCTTATTGCCCCACCCTCGGCCTGAGTGCCTATTCACTGGCTGGTTTTATTTTTTTTCTTACTAACCTTCGTACTGTGAGCTCATCTGCTGAATCAGCATCTTGGGCGCCCACATTTTGTGAATCATATGTATCATCATATTCATCGTCGTACAAGCTGACCATCCGTCTGTGTTCATTGAACACATCATAAGCTGCGTATCTTTCTTTCACTGACTCTGTTATATCACTTTTATCCGATAACAGTGCCTGCAAATTCGCTCTGTCTCGCCGTTTCCCTTTGTGAACTTTTGTGACATCGACTTTGCTGCCTGAAAAAACGTCAAATTCATCCTTGTCATAAACAGAGTGCCTCTCCTTCAAGATCGTTGTCGAGGTCTTTTTTTTATTTTTCATCAGCGTTTCCTTTGACAAGCTCCTGTCGGCGTCTCGAAGCGAAGGAGGCAAGTTATCCTCCAATAACAGGTTAATAACTTGTTCCACATCAAAGTGCAATTCCTCTAAACACATGATTACAAACCCGTCACCAAGTCCTGGCAAAAGATCTTGAACGTGAGTTACCATGGAGAACAACTCAACATCACTCACTGTCTTGGGTGTTGCTCCCTCACTCTGGGGAAAAAAAAAAAAGGCTTTCAGATTGACGATTCCACAGGCTTTTTTCATAAAACACCCACGTCGAGGACTTACAGTGTACAGCTTAAAGTCATACCCTCCCATTCATTGGTGAATTAAAAATTAAGTACCATACGAAAAAAAAAAAAAATTCATTCATATCATTCTTGTCACACACTGCATTTTCTGAATTACCTTGTCATCAACGAATCCATTAACGTTTGCCAAATGTTCTTCGGTCAATTCATCTGCGCGCACATTCACAAGGGTATCGACAACGTTAGTACTTCGACCAACAGTTAAACCGTTTTCATCAGTATTCTTTCTCTCTGTGAAATGACGAGGGAACGCTTTTCGTGCACTGTCCACTGCATCTAAAATGTAATCCATCCGTGTTTCATCGACACTGGCCGTCAGCTGTTGAATTCTGTTCAAGTCCTCTCTTATGCTGAATCTTGAATCATAACTACTCAGAAATCTGATTATAAATAAAGAAACATTTTTCAGTTTTCATAAATAAACGAGTTGAAACATAAAGGGCCTGGGAGAGGAGAATTGAAAATATCAATTCAGTTACTAAAA